GATGAGGGTTGGACTCGGAATAACAAAATATCAGTATTGCACAAACATAACAATAAAGGGGAGCCAGGGAGGAGCAAAAGCGAAACCACTGTCACATTAGTGATGTCCTGGTGCTGCTCCCAACAGCCTAGGCCTATTTTACCTTAAGACATGTATATTACTATTATGTTCATTCGACCTATAGGTCTAGTACTAATACCTTTATTATCATATTTAACCAATACTACCTTATTGTGTTTTACGATGGAGGCGAAGGAACTTTCATCACGTGGTTTATTCCTAGGTAATAGCGCTAATTTACGTCATTGGTTCGCTCATTAATGTTCATCCATATTCGTCCTTGTGCAACCACATCACTGCTAAATTACAGCGATACTTGCCAATTAACTATCTATAAACTTACTCCAAACATTAAGATAGAGGCCTCCGTATTTAATGGTAAGATAAGTCATTATCTTTCAATTTAGAATTAGAATGACAGAAAACTTGTCATCGCCAATTACCTGACGTACGTATGAGCAAGACCGTTCCCATTTCTTTGAAATAGGCCATTGATTGGCTTGTATTGTTGGAATCAATTATTTACAAAATTTCGTAGTAAAACATCAGTAAATCAGCGAAATCTGAATTATTATAATTTGTGTTTCACTGGAAATTGAAAAATAATTTTATCTCCGTAATGAGTACTTTAATTTTTAATGACTTCTTTTGAGGGAATGAACTTAGTTCTGTGGTTGAGACAATTGACAATTTTGTAGCAATGAATAATAAGCCCGGATGTACAGTCTACTGTACTATAATTGTTTAACGTCTGAACGGGCACTGTTCTGTTCACCGTCTGAATCTCATTCGTAGGACACTCACTGCGTCGTACGACCGTCGCACGACGAATCCGACTCTTCTCCCTGTGAGCGCCAGACGACGCTAAGTCGTCGGCTGATTGTCTGCAGTCTGAACGGATCGTCATTAAAAATGATCCGTTGCGTGTGCGTCGACGTGGCGTCGCGTTCCCCATAGAATCGCGTCACCGACGACCGTCGAGCACAGTGAGCTTTACAGTGCAGTGGAGGAATGCTCTATTTTCATCGTCTGCTTGAATTACCTACATCCATTCGCTTTATCACTGACATATTACAGGTCTCGCATGTGCCGAAAGAATTACTGCAAACTATCTTGGGTAATAAGTATAATACAGGCTAGGGGCTACTTGTCACCTCTGTTTGTCAATAAAAAGGTGAACTGTAAGACAACAATGCATTAACTCTTTGGTCGGCAATATATCTGCTAACATTCTTAAAGATTAGGCCTAGATTTTACAATATTATTTTAAGTGAAGTGCAGCAACGTCCGTGACATATTATTGATTTTTGCTCCTTTAGGCCAATCGCTAAGTAGATAGACCTACATTACTAGAGACGCATTCAGTTATGTACCAAGACACCGATGTCCAAATGAAATAAATATAGAGCCTTTGGGCGGGTTGTAATTATATTTATATACTACTAACGTAATTAGACGATGCATTTTTTGTGTACATTGTGTTGTAGGGCTATGGGGGGAGAGTAATTGATAGGAAATTTTATTTTCTCTTCGAGAAATCTTGCACATTGTTTTTCTTGTTGCTCATTCTGTCAGACCCGACTCCAGGGCACGCAAAATACAAACAGGGTCTGAAAGGCTTTTGAGATCATTGCATGGCTTCGAGAATTTCAAACTTTTACTGGAGAGGTCAAATCGCCAATGGTTCGGTAGTCCCTTTTCCTATTGTAGAAGTCTAGGGAGCGTGACCCTAGAGGCTTCTGAGTTTTAGATATTTTATTTCAGGCATAAAATTGTCTCTTATGTACCGATACCAAGCTTGTAACGAAACTTTAAACCTGCTTCGATCAACACAAACTCTTTCTCATCGTGAAATTTTCGACCGACACTACGATCACTACGATATTGTTATTGCTATTGTTTTTTTGTTTTGTTTTGTTTTATTTTTGTTCTTTGTTTTTTGTTTTTGTTTTTTTGCTGAAATTATATAGGGCCTATGATTTCTGTATGTACTTTTTGGTAAAATAAGCATAAAAATGATAAAGAATGAAAAACATAATATGTACGTGGTAATGAGTTAAAGCAGCGAGAGAGAGCAGCGTGGCTCAGTCGCCTTAAGTGGTGGTAGCCACTGTGTGTGTGCTATCTCTTGGTCCCCGGTTCAATTCCCATCGCTGCTCTCCTTGTGTTTCAGCTGGAGGGCTGAATGCAAGTTACGACAACGCACCGTCTTTCGGATGAGACATTTAAGCCGTTGGCCCTGTCGAGAATTATGGTCCATGTTTACGTTAAAAAAAGCCTACACACTTCGGCAAAGAGTAAGGGATTGTCTCGGATCGATGCAGGGTGGAGGGAGGGGGCACCCCGTGCTCTCCGTTTTGCCACTAAATTTTAAAATATCAATGTTATATATTGAATTAAGCACTCACTTATCTATTCTGAAAATGCTGTTGGAAATAAGTCTTCTTCAAACTTTCGTGCGTTATCCTTAGAGTTTACACCGAATAAATCAATCCATCCATCCAGCGAAAAAAATCTTTGTTTATGGGTAGAAAATATCACCTTGGTAACGTTAGCTAGTCTAACATGCTGTTTATTCATTTGGTTAGCACCCCACTTCAGCTGTGCTCAGTATGCAATTCAATTTTCCGTCCTATACATGAATATTGTATTCCGGGTTCATGTGAATTAGATACGGACGAGGATGCGAAATTAACTAATATTGTATCGTAACTGTTACTCGCCGTCTCAGCGGGTGACTGTTCGCTAACAGTTCGCCAACAATTGTCTCACATTCCTAATCGAGTGTTATTGAATTTTCTGCAAATGAAAGCTATTGAAGTTTAAGTAAATGAAAGTTGAAGTGCTTAACTCGAAATAATTTTCTTGATTCTAGGGGGAGTTTGGTTAATGATTTCCTACTGGGGGATACCGATCGCTATCATACCTAGCCTCATAATTGTGTATTTTGTACCGGGCTTTGCCTTTTCTGCTGTAGTTATCTATTATGCCTACATGTCTATCCATTCTATACATGGCCCAAGCCCGCAGCATACCCATACTACACTCGCTTGTTACTTTAAACGCCACACCGGCTGCGGTTAAAGATGTGTATAAGAGACAGATTGTATACTCTGCTGGTTTTCTAATTTAGTTTTTGTTCTGTACTTATAATTATGTAGTGTTTTCTCTTATTATTAAAAAAAAAAACCAAATTGATGCGATGTGCCCATATATGTCAAATTACACACAAATAAGGCCATATCACAAAAATCTGTTATATATATAGTATACATATATAATATGTATAGTATGTATAATATATATATAATATATATAATAAATATATATGTATATGATATATAAAAACGGTTGAACGTGTTGCAAATATTATCAGCAGAGTGCTCAATGGTATATAATGGTATATATAATATATAATATATATATATAAAATATATATATAATATATATATAATATATTGCTGCATAGACAGATTTGTATATAAAGTAAGAAGTCAAACGAAGTTCTGTATCAATTATATATATAATATATATGGGCCTATATATAATATATATAGGCCTATATATATATATATATTTATATTTATATTCAAATTTTACTTTATTAGAGTGACTGACTGAATAAGGGTTAAGCCCAAATGATCTCGTCTTTATTTTCTCAATAAATTTTGAGGTAACTACTAACACCTACCTACGTGTTTTAGTTTTATGTATACAATTATCCTATGCAGCAACTATGATTTATCTATTCGCAGTAAGTTAAGAACCTTCCCTTTTTTTATACTATACGCGTCTGCAAAAGAGGTTGAAAATCAGTGGCTTCCAATCCGATATTTTCAACAAAGCCCAAGTGGGCCAGTTGGTTAAGGCTTCTGCATAACACCAACATGTTCAGGGGTTTGAATCCTGTTGAGACAACTTATTTTAGAAACAAGAGGCGTTGTGATTATAACTAGCATACGCCTTCAAAAACAAACATTTCTTATCAGTTGCATGGAATAGTGCTTTTGGTGAGTCT